CACACTGTTCTCTCTCCCTCCAGACACTTCTTCTCATGAGACGGTTGTGGGTGTGAGTGAGAGCGAAGAGGTGACAGACATTTCTACGCACAACCACACTCTCCCTCATACCCACAACTGTATACCTGTTGCAGAAGGAAGTGTCACTGAAGAGCATCTGTTTTCAGAGCATTTGTCTGCCTAACAACATTCGTATTACCGAGAAGAACGTTAGTTACGCTTTTCATTTTTTCATGAGAGACAAATTCGATAATCAATATTTTGAAATATAGACAAAAAAAATCGTTTAATCGAGAGATAAAATAGCTTTGAAAGTGCATTTAATAATAGTCTTGAGATAGCAGCTAACATGCCTACACATGTCACTATGTGGAATGCTCTACTAGCGTATATTTTTCATATTGGTGATTGTCTTACTTCCTCATCTCTTTATAATCGTAGTCCAACATACTCAAAATAATCACTAAAGATGTAATTATCAGGAATATTAAAAAAAATTTTTTTTTTCAAACAATTCTTGCACAGCAAACTAAGCTAAGCTAAAATCACGCGAGCGTCTCTTGCTTGTTCATGGATTGTAAAACTTTCGTATAAACGAGTCGGTATTACAATCATCTCGATTTTCGAATTGTCGGTCAAAATATGTGATTCTCTTCGTTGATCCATCAATCTGGCAAACTATCCAGAAGTTTGCTTCTGGTTGATTAACGTATGGAACTTGAACAACTCTATAGGGGTGATCTGCATCTGCATCTTCGTTGGTACTAATAGTAACAGTAGCCTCTGATCTTGGTAGTTCCCCATCTTTGCTATATCTATGAACGGCATAAACATATTTCATGTTTGGTTCAAGCTTCACTTTGATAGTTTCGGGTCCACCACCCTCTCGACAATCATAATCGAGAGAAACATTTCGTTCCTGTTTTCGTGAGAAGAACACATGTCGTCCATCCGAAACGTACACATGAGAATCGAGGTCACTCGGTCGTTTACCCCATTTCAGCAGAAATTCGACTTCATCAGGTGCCATTTGTCGATAGATAAAATAAGTAACCGAGTCTGGTCCTTTGTTTTGAAATACAATTCGTTGAATCCTTGCAATTTTGTATTGAGTTTTGTGGGTATTCAGCACGATCTCATAACAATTGTTCGATAGATTTCGAGGCACATTCACAACGCCATTTTTATCACTATTGCCGGTAAAAACGACTTGGCCGTGCAACATAATTTGAACTGTGGTTTCAGCAAGGATGTTGTTAATAGAATCTCTAATGATAAACTGCTTGGGCATGCAACAGTCAGTTTTAGGTTCAAGGCGCACCGACCACGCCCCAATAATAACTTGGGAATTTGGATAATAGACCGTCACTTGATACTGACCATAGTTGTTAAAATTGAATTGATCAATTAAGTTTACTTCAAGGGTGGCAGAGTCTTCAAGCTTGTCATAAGCAGCTTCGAACGATACACCGCTACACCCTTTAGGACCAACGAATGTAGTTTTAAGGGCGACAGCGTCACTCGTAACCTTTACGTTTTCTGCCCAATGCATGACAGTGGCTGATTTTCCATCAGGCCCAGATATATCAGCCGTCATTGAGTTATACCATCGAAAAGTGACTTCATGTGTTTTCACGGATTTACCGGCGGTTACACCTGCAACGATTCGAGTTTCGATGAAATGACAAAAAGAAATGGTACATTTTTCATATTTCAACTTCATAGACTTCTGAATTACCACGTGTGGATTTCATTCCGAATACTCATATTTTTTTGTGAAGACTCTCATAAACTATCCCAGAAGCAAAACATTTTCTATAGAATCCATGTCCAGCTGAAGGAGGTTTCAAAGTTTTGCAAGTTCCTCCAGAACAATACAAATTTTTTTCTTCAGATACATATTTGGTATACAATAAAAAAGAAGGTGTGACAAGAGTTCTTACGCCTCCTTCTTCGTTTAGGAAAATAGTAAATATAGCATCTCATTTTTTGTTTCGAAAGATTTAAATGTCAATGGATGTTTTTCTATTGTAGGCATCACTGACATCCTGTAGAAGCTTCATGTAGTGGAAATGCTGCAATTTCTTTGTCAAATGTGGGTCTCATTATTCGAATGGTGAAAAGTACTTTTGAAATTTAAAAATCGATGTAGCATAATGCCAAAATACAGTTTTATCCCGTTCTAAAGAAATACTTTCAACTATTATCATGAAGATGGAAGAAGGAAGTAAACCCATTATGAATCTACGATGATGACAATTTTTTTCGATCATTCAGACGTCTTTATGCTGAGAAAAGGTATCATTACTAATGCATCAATAATCACCATGTATTCTTCTTCTATTCACCGGGTTCACTACTAGTTTCATCATCGCACTTATACTCCGTTATTGTCTTACTTCCTGAAGAAATAGTTCGACAATGCTGCTATTTCTAGTCGAAGCTTGTCTGATACCAGGAACGATAGTCTCACGTTGGTCTGACGCATAGTACTTCTAGAACTACTCCGTCGCTGTCGAAAATCAGTATCCGATTCTGGTCGAATCATGGCATAGTCAGGTTGCCAAAAAATAGTTGACATCGAGTCGGGTTGGATTACGAAAAACTTATTGGAATTCAGGCTAGATCTTCAGTCTGAACATTATTAAGATTTAAAAGGCATTTTGAATGTTTTTTTTTTTCATTTTAAAGTTTTATGAGAGAGAATGAAAAGGCTTAATAAAAGAGGAAGTTATATATTTCACGATCTTTTCTTGTTCTTCATTGATTTTTCTTTATTGACATTGGACAATAATGCATAGCAACTGCATCGTCTGTTCAATGATCATATAGAGGGCGCACGCTGTATACATACGAAATACAGGATAAAAATCTATCACACAATCGTGGTGTCTCAACTGTGAAACATCAGCGAAATATCAAGGACTAAAAGAGATCAAAGACATACCCTTTATATCTAGTTACGAAATGAGGAAAAAAAGATTGAACAATTGGTTTTCGCAAGAGAAAGAGAAGTGTTTGACATTAGAGCCCGACTAGAGTCAGCTCAGGTTAGATTACAAAAATTTGACCTTTGTCGGACACTGGCATGTATGGAAGATCATAAGAATAATCCATTTCGAAAAGAATTGGTGCGCACGTGCCTTCTGAATGAACACTCATGGTCGATTTCCCGCCATTTTTAGCATGCAGGTACAAGTTTTCGAAGAAGTGAAGTAGGTGAACTCTGGGGCAATACTTAGCGCACTAATAAATCTGGTACCCATAGAAATGCTGTGAACATTTCAACTGAAATGAGCGCTTTTTCTCCACGATATTTAGCTCCTGAGAAACGTTCAAGTTTCCAAGAGAATTGAATATATTGGTAGCTGAATGCCTTGAATATAAAGTGCTCAATAGAGTTGAAAGTTTTCACAGTATTCTTATGACTACTAGACTTATGTGCAGATCAGACTTTGGTCTAAAATTCACTTATTCAGTTTTTTCAAAAACCTGTGACCATAATCTAAAAGAACAGTAAACCGATTATGAATTCATTCGCAAAGTATAGGTGCATCCATCTTGTTTAGGCTGAACTAGTCTCACACACCTGTATATAAGCATTAAATATCAGTTCAAGAGAAATGAGACAGCTCAATCGATTCTCTCGTTAGTAAAGAGTGCTCAATACATTTTGTCATCAGAATTGGAAAGGTTAGTAGTAGAGACCCATGGGACAAATTTTTTTCCAGTGCATAATCTCATTTGGTGCATCCCGTTTTATTTTCTAACTGCCTTGATCCAGAATGTCCCGTGGAATCGGAGAAACGGTTTTTTTCGAAATTCAGGGCTGTCCCGCAAGAATTCAGTTACTAGATTATTACCTTCTAACAATCGTCGGTATGTATTTATTTCGAATTGAAGCGAAACATTGTTTTCATGTATACTTGAAATAGCTTCTTGAAGTGCATTGTAGTCAGCTAATCGCATGGCGAATTCTTGCTCTAATGACATCATTGATTGACTTCGACCGAATCGTACTCTTTCATATTCTTCTTCGAGATCTCGCATTTGATTGGCCAACTTCGTGTTGTCGGTTTGCAATGCGGCAAGAGCATTTCGAAGATCGCTCAAGTCCACTCTGATCGTTTTCAAATCAACCGTATGAATTAATTCTGGCTTTTTACGTTTTTGATCAGCTATTTCTGTCTCAATTTGTTCAGTTTTGATTCTGTAATATTCTGAAATACAAATATAATGAATGTAACTGTGTGAACCAAAGAAAATTCTCAAGCCATGATGTTTTAAGGCACATTGTGCAGTCATTTCGATTTCTTTTTATTATTAGAAAACAAGCATCGAACATTTTGACCTCTGAGATTATTGAAAGCGAGTATCGGATTTGAACTTTGGCTCTTCTAGATATAGAAAATGTTATACCTTCCCTAATCGAGATAGAATTCTTTTTTTCATTCTGTTCGTTTTTCTAGTGACTTCCACAGATTTGGATTTTTTTAATGCAAATTTGTTTCTATTTGTAAAATTCTGTAGAAATATTTTTCGTCATATTGAAATGTTAGCATCTTTTTCTAGGTATATATTTCAGAGTTTTAGTGCAGTTATATGAACATATCGTAAATAAGACAGTACAATAATAAGCGAAAAAATTTTTTTAGTCTAAGGTATTGTTATATAAATCACTTCAAAAGCTGGTCGCTAGAATATCAAAATCTATAGATGCTTTTCACAAGAAAGGATGAAGACGTACAGTTATGTACAGAATTCATGATATTTATGGGCTATTATTATGTATAGGCTCATCTCATTCAAACTTATCGAACATCGATGTCTGACTTTGTACTAGTTTTCTACTATCTTATACCTCATTCTTAGTCTAAATGAATTATGTGATCTTATTATCTACATATATAGCTGAAACTGGAGAGTGGAGCCATCTATTTGTTAACACCATTGATAGAGATGATTAGAACTGAAGCATTAGTTATTTGCATATGAACTAGTTAGAATATAAATTGTTCTTTTTTACCTTTCAATTCCGTGTATTGTGCATCTGAAAGTATCTCGAAATCTTTCTTGATATTGGCAACTGCTCGTGCAAGTTCATCCCTGTAGAATTGGCCAACATCAATTTGGTATGTACCGAGCAAAGCCAACTCATTGCGTTCTTCTTCATAGATAGCTTTCATAAAGACCAATTCTTCTCGAAATGTTTGCAGCTCACATTCAAGCATGACACGGGCCATCAATTCACTATCCAGTTCCTTATTCAAACCACCCACATAATCTATTTGTCGTTTCATTTCACCTTTACTTCGCTCAATCTCTTCCTTCTTATGTTCAAGTTGAAGGCGCAATGCTTCGAGCTCAACTTTGGTTCGTTCCAAGTCTTGTTCGGAAATCGAAGCACGATTATGACCAGCAACAATAAGTGATTGTATGAAAGAAATTCGATGTCCAATCGACGTTTTATCTTGATCGGCTCGTGCGGTTTTTATTTGAGATAACAGCATATCGCATGTTGTCGTGTCTAGTTGCTTTCGAACCCCAAACAAATCTTTGTCAAATTTTTCTCTAACCTTGACAGAATCAAAACCTAAGCATCAAGTAAAAAAAACCGTTCGCTAGTTTTCTTCAAATGTGACAAGTTTTTTTGTTTCCAAGAACTTTACCCCAATTCTGTTTCAAAGCATCAACTTGCATGCGTAAATGACGATTTCGGTCTTCTAGATCTTTAACCCGTTTGATATATTGGCCAAAGTTTTCGTTGAGCTGTTGCAGTTCGCGTCGCTCATCATCGCGTTGCAAGGCTATTTTTCGAACTCGAACAACATGTGTATCACCGGTGGCCATGTTGACTTTTTTCTTATCACCAATAGAGACCAGAAGATGAGAAGAAAACTAATCGATATCTACAATTAAACACAAAATAACATCTACGTTCAACTGAAATAAGCCAAGCTTCTTTTGTACGCTTTTGATACAATCGGCCAATATATTTCAGTGCAGTAAGAAAAGTCCCTATCTGATAAACATTCAAAAATAAGAGCAGGCCAAAAAAGAAACGAGGATAGGGTGTTATATTTGATAATTGACCATCAATTCTCAGTCTCTTCCCAGTGTAATTAGAAAAAAATAGTACTCAATTCCAAGGTCGCTTTAGAAACAGTAATTTGACCTTCAAAACTCAGGACTTTCTAGAAAGTCTAACAACTACTGTACCTAAATGGCAGTCAGCCTTGTTCAACTGATATTCCAGATTTTAAAGAAGCTTTGTCTTTCTATAGCTGCAACTGATATGTGAACATGCCAAACATCTGACTTTTGAAAAACATTCCTTTGTTGTGTTCGTCCAATGACTAGATGAACTCTTTAGAGCAGCACATGACGCCAACCTCATCACTTCTCATGTGTTGTAAGTTCACCTTTTGTCTACACTAATAATTTTTTTGATGAAATTTTATGGACATATATATATATGTATATATATATATATATACGACGGCGTCCACCCTACATATAGTCACATTTGAAATCATTATATGGTGTCTGAAGCACTAGAGAGAGATTTCAGAGTTTGTTTATACCCTCCACATTGTGATCAGGAGACTTCTTTAAAAATGCTTGTATCACTCTATAGTACTCAGTACCCTGTTTATATATCGTAAAAAACCGATTTCTATATGTCCAGTTTGGAGCATTTGAACCGATTCATTTCAAAAAGTGTGATTTAGATGAAACCATTTTGAAGAATAAGAACTATCGACGAAGCTTAAATTTTCATCAACAATACTACCCTTAGAAATCTCTCTGCGATTGGAATTTCAAGTTTTTCACCAAAGTCGCTCTCATTATATTTGCATATACACATAGAACGGAAAAACGACAATATTTCATGAATTCCGCATCTCTTCCTCAATTTATCAATACTTTATTCATTTGATTACATTTTTCGTAGAAGTACTTCAATGTGAGACTAATATACAGTGAAAACCTCAAAATTCAGCAGATATATATTATCCGTACAGTATGGATACTACAGAAAAAATGAGTCAATTATATTCTGAAAAGGGTTCCGTTTAGGCTGGAAGAAAATATTCAGTTATTTTAAAAGTCCTCTTGATAGCTGAGGAAAGAATCATTAGTGCTGATATCGGAAGCGAAACATTATTCAACACTCATATCTGACAGAAGCCTGAGTCACAATGTGGAGAATATAGACAGGCTTTATCAAATCTCTGTATGACTATAGACACCATATAATGAGTTTGAATGTGTTTATATGTAAGATAGATATGGTAGTATATATATGTCAATAAAATTGCATCAGAAACAGTATTAATGTAGACAAAAGGTAAACTTTATAATACATGAGAAGTGATATGGTTGCCGTCATTCTCTGCTCTAAAAAGTCTATCTTAGTAATTGGAAGAACACACAAAAACCTGGAGTATGAATGGAGCAAATGATCTAATATTGGGTCATCTTTATCGCACAAGAGCTGCTAACGAGCTTAATTGATTGTTGCATGTGGCTATTCTACTTTTGTCAAATACGATCTGAAAGGAATGTCGAAGTGTATAGGGGTGACAATGTGGAGCTAACCTCATCTCTCCGCACAGGCGACGATAGGTGGTCTGCAAATACACCACATACTGCAACAGACATGCTGGAGAGACCTTCACAGACCGTAACAGACGTCCGCGTGGACCGTCAGCGACTGTGACAAACGTTTTTGTTACATTGTTAGCGGTCGTATATCACTGACATCTCGTAAGAATATAAAACTTCTGCTTTGTTGCCGCTCTTGTGGATTAAATAAAGGTTGATGAAAAATAGGTTTGAAGATAGATTGAATAAAAAGAAAACTCGCATGATTAGTAACAACAATTACATCGTATTTCACATTTTAATTTCACAGGAATCGTGCGAACAGCTTAATTTATGGTATTTGTATTTGTTAAGAATTACTGAACAATGAGACATTTCTACAAGGCCGTGACTTGGTACACTCAAGGTATACATAACTGTTTGACTATGTGTACTCAAGTAGGTATAATCAATATATAATTGTCTAATGTAGTGAAGTTAGCATCTTTTATGCTGATTATTCTTACTTGAGTGCACATAGCTGGTCGATGATATGCATTCGGGTATACATAGCCGCTTGGCAATGTACACTCAGGTACACCCAACGACTTCATTTCTACAAATTTTTTCTTTCATTATCCTGAATATTAGTCAATTTAATGCTGTCTCAGTCAGCGAAATATGACACTAGTGCATTTAAGTTTTTAACTAGTATTTCGTATTCAAATTCGGCTAAGTTTGATAAAATAAAGTATGCTGATCTTTGAAAGCTCCTCTTTGCTCATATCCATGTCGTCTAGATGTCGCATGTTATGCTGTGCTTGAGTGAAGAGATTTGAGTTTCTATTTTTCTATGCAAGTGTTACGGTTACGACCGTTAATAAATTATTAGTAGTATTAGATCACTTGAGACTCATGCTGCTTCAATCAGTAACAGTATAATCAGCCATATCTATACAAAATCACCTGCTGCTTTGTTATTCTTTATCTCAATTTTTTTTTAAAGTAGATTCTGTTGATGTCTTTTACTCAAGGGCAAGTTTACTTTCAAGGTTTTTTCTTTCATTCTTCTTTGTTCTTGTGCATGTCATGCGCTTTCAAGCAACACGCATTATAAATTGTTGATGGAAGCAACACAAGAGCGCCCAATGTTTGTCTTTCTTCTCTTGGATTGAAATATCCACATGAAATGCATTAGAAAGAGAAAAAAAAACATCTTAATAACTAATGGATGAAAAATTCAGATGAAACGCACTACGAAGTGCATGCTTATAACTGCATAATGCAGCGCATCGAGTTTGCACAGCAACACGATACATTTAACGAGCCTAGCTTTTTAAAACTATGTGAAGCATTTCTTAGTTTTCAATGTATCTCTCAGACCTTGAGAAATAATAATGTTCGAAGACATACTAATGTTGAAAAAAAAAGGTTTCATACAACTATTCGAGCCATAAGCTGAAAAATTTTGGTAAAAGCATTTTATTCACATCTTCTCCTATAATTAATGTTAGTAAACGTGTTCTTGTTAATTAAAAGCAAGCTAAAAGAATTTACATAGTTAATCGTGTTTAACAAGGCTTTAACAGACGAGTACGATGGATATTGCATCTAAGATGAGAGAGCAACAAAAAACATGCTTACTCTGACAGAATACGTTTAGTAGCGCTTGAACAAAGATCGTTGGAATAACTTCGGAGCTTTTAAAAACGAAGTATTGTTAGGAAGACAGCATGTATGTTGACATAGTTTGTTCTCAGCTATATGATGGTAAAAATATAATTTTTCATTATCGAAGAGTTAGAAGAGTATTCAAAAAACTCTTAGTTCAGTCTATCTCAGGTCAAATAAAATACAGATAATCTGTGTCTGTAAGGAAGTGATTTTAGTCCGAGTACAACTTATTTATTTTCATGCATCGCAATTATAGTGGATCGATTATTGATATCAGATATATTTAGTAATGAATGCTTTTTTGTATTCTGACAAAATATATTGAGCTCAACAGCAGCGAAACACTAAGCATTTCTATTCATTTTGAGTAAATATCAATCGACAAATTCGTATTACAATTTTGGAGGCCATAACTGGTTGTATAGTTGAGAGAAAGGTATCAGGAGCACCGGACTCAGCACAGCTTGCAAAGTGGTGAGACTTGATATGCTGTGATAAGTCTTGAGCCAAGAAACAAAACAAGTTAGGTTGTATTTAGGGCTACAATGCAGCCCAACGGATCTTGCTTCTTGATTGCAAGGTTCATCACAACACACCTAAATCTCATCGATTTGAAAGCTGTGATATGTTGGAACCTTCCGACGCCTTATACTCTTCTATACACTCATTTAGGACTATTAGAATTTCAGCACAAACTTGTGAATTTCTGTGACCTTACTGTTAAAATTTTCAACTCAATTAGTTGAGACATGCTTCACCAAAGAATAACAAACTAAAAACAAGCGCTTTCAATGTCGTTGAACTTCTCAATTGGTAGGTCGGATTTCCTTTATTTTTCGATAATTGCTCACTAAAACTTCATCGGAGATAACTGCATCACTAGTCTTTTCAATGAAGGATTCTATGAACCAAATTGTCGAGATATGCTGGAAATTTGGCTTTCACATATTTGGAGGTTCTAAGTACCGCAAATATACCACCTTTAGTGTTAAAAGCCAGAAGCTGGTGCGTCCTTAAGTACACGTTGAAGAAAACCTGTACAATTAGACGGTGAACGCTTTGCAAACAACGGATTGGTGCTCCTCATTTTGCAGCAGCTTCGTCTTCTATAATGCGGTGTTTGTTAAAGTGTAGCGACATTGTACTGTATTTCATAAATAAAACTCGTAATGCTCTATGTATTCCATGGAGGTTAGTGTATTCGGCTCTGAAGGAGTATGATCAGAAACGATAGTGTGCGATTACCTGA